CTGAAAGAAAAAAAAAAGAAATTGGTCAAAGCCCACATGATAATTTATGCCAACATTCTGCCAACATTCTGCAACCTGTTGTCTTATAGTAATGCTTCTCAATCTCCAAGCAACCAAAGAAATTGGTCAAAGCCCACCATGATAATTTATGCCAACATTCTGCAACCTGTTGTCGTATAGTAATGTTTCTCAATCTCCAAGCAACTTTAAGATAATTGGACTTCAATCCCAGAATTCCCCAGCTAGCCATGGTTGGCTGGGGAATTTTAGGAGTTGAAGTCCAAGCATCTTAAAGTTGCTGAAGTTGACAAACAATGCCTTAGAAGAATCATGTACAACTGCTCCCATCATCTCCAACACAAGACATATGCTGGCTGATACTGATCTAAAAAACAATAGGTTTGAAGAGTCTGATTTAATTAAAAACATTTTCCTGGTGTTTTCCTCCAACTTATAATAAAATGTGGCAATCTCAGAATGAGTACCATCCTCACAGTGCCAGAAATGAGATCTTTCAAAAATACCTTATTGCAAGATATTCCTAAAAATAGAATAATAAAGTACTTTAAGTGCAGCTTGATTTATACTATGGCATTATTCCTGAAAAAGAGCAGCAAAACTCGGCATACATTTTTATATATAAAAATATAGCATACATTTTATGTGTACATTACAAAAAAGGAAATTACAACAAATTACTATATTGTGTTTTGAGATATGAAAAAATAGCAAAATAAACCATGATAGCATTGACAATATGCTATGCAGGCAAAGCTTTCAATGCTGTGCCTCTACGTTTTTGGCCTTTTATTTTTTTCTGTTAATATTTGTGGATCACATAATACTCCTGATCTCAGTAACAAAGGGTATACACATGCTATACATTTTTGCATTTGGTTCTAGTAACAAATTATCCATTTGAACTAGGTTGTATCTTGAGATAACTAATTTAACAATATAATTATATAACAATATAATCTGTGAGATGAATTCTAAAATGTTTCCTATGAATTATTCACTAATACCTAAACTAAAACTTAGCTTAAGCATTTCAACAATACAAAGTTGATAAATTCCATATTTTTGTTATAAAATTCACAAATTCACCTTTTAAAATCTTATTTCATATCCCAGCATTATAGATATTAAACCAAAGTAGTGCACCTGCTGAACAAATCTAAAGCTTTATAAGTCACTATTCTTTCACTTCTAAATACCAAAACCAAGACTCAAAACTGCTAAATCTCTTCTGAAATGGCCAATAAACATAAAAAAGAATATTCTGTGGAAGATTGTGGGATACAAATTTAACATTCTTTAAAACACTACGTTTCTGATTTGTTAAAATATTCCATTTTTCTCCCAGGTATCTTGGTTTTTCATATCTATCTTCAGTCGAGCATAAAAGTTAAATATAACTTTGGAAACCTCTGAAATTCGTTGCTTTAAAACAATAATCTGAAAACTATAGAGCAGGGCTTTTCAACCGGTGGTACACGTACCACTTGTGGTACATTAATGAGTGACAGGTGGTACGCAGCCCTGCCTAGCCAAGTGTAGTGGGAGAGGGAAAGAGCCAGCACCGGCAAGGACTTGCAGTGAGAGAGTTCTCTGGAGCTGCAAAGGCCCCAGGCTCACTTTTGGCTCACCTTCCCCCATGAGAAAGGAGGAGGGGGGCGGAGACAGGAGAGCCTATAAAGTTTGGGCAGGAGAGGGAGAGAGAAAAAAAGCAGCAGCCTTGGGAGGAGGTGGAGTCAGCTGCACAGGAGGGGGAGAGGGAGGGGGTGGGTGAGGGTGGGGGGAGAGGAGATCAAGCAGGCTGGCCATGAGCCGATCTACAACTGCTGTGGCAGCCACCTGTGCTGGCAGCAGCAAACAGGCAAGAAATGCAGCAGGGGAGGGGTCGCCCTCCAAGAGGAATGGCTGGAGGTGAGGCATGGAAGAGGGAAGGAGATGGAGAGTGGAAGGATTCTTATGTGCTTTTGTCACTTTGAAGTTCTGGAATTTGTGCAATGAGGGCTTTGTGTTCTTAAGGAGTGTTTGGCAATTTCTATTTGGCTGATGGCTGATGTCTTGTGTTAGCTTCTATTGCTCTGCTGTTGTTAGCTGTAAGTTTTGCTGCAAGAGATTTTGAAGTATTTTTCTCCGGAATGGATTTTGCCTGTAGCATGCCTTTACTTATGAATGGAGCCATTTGGGGAGGTTGCCTTAGCTGACAGCCAGTACTTACATTTTTTTTCTTCCTTAAGTGCCAGCTGCGCTCCTTACTTTCCTTTCTAGCCAGTAGCTAATTCTTAAAGGGGAATGTGCCTTTTTAAGCTAATTCACTCAGCAGCTTGTCTTTTCTGTCTCTGGAGGCTTTTCCTTGTTTGATCAATATATGGAAGAGGGAAAATATAGGATGGGGGGTTCAAATTCTTCCTTCAGAAGGAGATGGGAATGAGAAAAGGGGAGGCAGGGAAGGGAGGGAGGAAAGGAAGTCCCGCCTTAGCACTTGGCCACCAGCAGCTCTGCCATTGACTTTGCTTGTCAAAAGGTTGCAGAAGGGGATCACATGACCCTGGAACACTGTGACCATTATAAATATGAATCAGTTGCCAAGCACCCAAATATAAATCACATGACTCTGGGCATGCTGCAATGGTCATAAGAGTGAAAAATGGTCATAAGTCATTTCAGTGCAATTGCAACTTTGAACAGGTTTTTTTTTTGGGTCATCAAGTTTTTGACACCTTGCTAGGTGGTACTCGAATACTGCCATATCCTAAAACTTGTACAATTGGTAAAAAGGTTGAAAAGCCCTGCTATAGAGCATTTATAGAGTACCGTAAAGAAAAATGAAGAACTTTTCTTTAAAATTTATAAGATAACAGAAAAAGCTATGTGGAGTCTAGAAAAGATATTCCACATTCTCTGTACAGTCCAGAGATTCCTCCCCCATACCAGCTATGAAATCCACCTTATCTGAAAAGTTGTAAATATAGTAAATACAAACAACTTCTTGTGATTCCAACTTGATACAATTGTCAAGATCTTTGAGGCTTGATAATATATTTATCTAAGAATTCAGGGACAAACAACAGAAAACAAAAATAGATAAATAAACCCGAGTTGCTTTGCTCCTACAGAAAAGCCACATTATACTCAAAAATCCAGCTTGCCTTTTCTTTGGACTGTAAATATTATCATGAGATAATCATAGATCAAAGAAGTTTAACTGAAAATATTAATTTAGTGAAAGAGGAAATCTGAACAGTATGCAGTTTTAATTTTTAATTCATTGCATCTGCACCAAAAAGCTCATTTAGGAATTTTCCCATAAACAACACCAAGGAGTGATCTTGCTCAACGCTAAAAGAAATTCCAATACAGGGAAGATCCCTGAGAATGGATTCCAGCACGAGTCCAAAAACTCAGAAGACTAAACCTCTGGTCCTGGTGACCGACCCAGATTGGATCCTGCAGTGTATATTTGCCTTCATTTATTATAGAGAATATTCAGAAATCATAGGTAATTTCTATATAACAGACTTGAATATGGGTGATTTCATTATGAAAATCATGCACTTTCTATTGGTTGCTTTTCTCATGGGAGACAGTAACCATCATTTTCAGGTCTGCCTCATCTTATTAAGAGAATCAAGCCACAGTTGATATTTTAAAGCATCTATGTAGTTTTTAATTACTGAAGCTCTGTAGTTTTATAGCTCTTTAAATAATGAGGCAGAAAATTAGAAGCAATTCCAAATTAGACACTTTCCCAATATTTGGACTATCTGACAGGTCAGGAGTTAAAAGCACTCCTTGCAAGTCTTCTGAGATAGGAAGATTTTTTAATTACAGATTTTCTTTTTTCTTAAAGATGATGACTGAAATGTGGAGGTGGTTGCTTTCTCTGGCATTTTGCTTTGGGGCCCCACAATTCATTGACAAGCAAATGTCACTTAAGAAGAAGAAATAAAGTTGTCCAATTATGAAAAAGGTTATAAAGCAGTCCAAAATTCTGAAATAAGCTCCAAAAGTCAGTGGACTGTAGATCCTGCAGTGATCTATTTATTTAACTTTTACACCATCCATTTCCTTTAAAAACTGGAAGCTCTAAATTCTATTCAATAATATTCAATATTATTAAGTCTTTAGGTATGTTTTAAGGACTGCAACATAACAATTTTGTGACTGTTTACTTAAGAGACAATCCCAGAAGATAAATAGAATTTTTCTGTCAATAAATGTGTATAGAATTATCACCTACATTATTGGTATTATTATTGTTATAAGTCAGATTTTATATATTGAGAAATATATGAGCTAGTGGGTGCCATTCATTAATGCTATTAATTCTATTTCATAGTTACAGATTTGGAGCTATTATATACACAGATTTTTTAATTTTAAAAAACATTTAAAAATTACATGCTTGAATCTTTCACTACATAAAAATATATTCTCCTGCACACATTTTTCCATATTCATCTTTTTAAAGCCACAAACATAAGTTATTTTCCAGTTATATATAGAAAACATAAGAGTTTATTTCTTATTTCCAGACTATAACAGAATAACACAGTTGAAAGAGACCTTGGAGGTCTTCTAGTACAACCCTCAGCTCAATCAGGAAACCCTACACCATTTCAGACAAATGATTGTCCAATCTCTTCTTAAAAACCTCCAGTGTTGGAGCACTCAACACTGATTGTTCCACTGATTAATTTTTCTAACTGTCAGAAAAATTCTCTTTAGTTCTAGGTTGGTTCTCTCCTTGATTAGTTTCCATCCATTGCTTCTAGTCCTGCCTTTATGTGCTTTGGAAAATAGGTTGACCCCTTTTCTTTGTGGCAGCCCTTTCGATATTGGAACATTGCTATCATATTACCCCTTCTTTTCATTAAACTAGACATACCCAATTCTTGCAACCATTCTTCATATGTTTTATCTTCCAGTCCTCTAATTATCTTTGTTGCTCTTCTCTGTACTCTTTCTAGAGTCTCAACATCTTTTTT